TATGTTTACTGTATACAGCTTGAGTTGTGGACATTTATCTCAGCAAACTGAACCTCAAGTTGTTAGACCACTGTCATCAACGTTGTTGTCAACCTGGCGTTTAGCGAGTAATACTTGTTATCTGTTTTCTTCATAACTATCGCTTTTTCTTGTTTTTGTATGTTGAGCGGTAATTAATATTGGATGCCTAAGAGTAATTTCAAGCTTTGTTACTTAGTTACTTACTTACTTGTGCCAGTTGCCTCGAATGGAGTATTGTTCAACCTACTCTGTCCTAGGCCTTCCTTTGCAAGTTTTGTGATTAGTTGCTTGCCGCATAATCTGTTTTGTTTTATCAGACTAATATTTCAGAACAGTACTTTTGGATACCATAAACACCTAATACAGGCCAATCTTTAAATTACTGCCTTAATTATTCACTATTGATTTTATAGGTAAACATCCTTTCATAGAAATTTTATTTCATTTTTAACATTGAAAACGTTTTCCAACATACTGCGTCAGGCGCCTTCATTTCTAGTTCTTCCTAATTGTCTTAATTCTCAACAGAGGGTGTTCCTTAGTTTACCACCTTTTCCGGTCTTGAGGATTCCAAATAATAACTAGTTTTTTTGACACAGTTCGGTGATTCCTCAATGTGTTTCATATCCACTTCCTGCAATTCTTCCTGATATATTTATCTGACAGAATCTGGTTTTTCCTCTCTTACAATAGATTGTAGTTGATAATATCCTGTGGATGATGACTTCCGCGGCCCTACACGTTTCCTCCTCATACAGTAGAACTGACTTGACAAAACATAGAAATGTTTGACTTTGGTGTTCATTATTAGTTTGTGTGATCCCAATGAAATCCTGCCTGCTGATTTCGAAGTTGATCGTCTACGAAGTCCCTAATTTTTTTTAACGGCGTTTCTCTTAACTTGCTTGTCCGCTTCTGTGTAGTCAGCTTATGCCGTGACTTTCTCTGCTCTTGTTCGGCAGATATTGATTGCTGCATTCTTGTCCCTCCTTTCTTGAATCTTATCTAGTGTATGAACAGTGATACATTCCTTGTGATTGTGATTTTTGTGTCTCAGAACCTCAAGACATATTGTAGTGATTGTTTCTTTGATCCATTTCCATGGTAGTTTCCTCTCTACGAAAAGCCAAGAATCTATTGTTGAGGGCTATTTTGAATTCGTTTAGCTTGTCAGTATCCCGAAGAAAAGCTGTGATGAACTTATGAGATGTAGTCTGGGCATTAGTCTAGTACTTCTTGAGTATCTGTTTCTTTTGGGCGACAAGGAAGTGGTGACTTGAGGATATTTCAGTTCTTCCCCATGAACTCACATGACTTTTCTCGCTTGCTTTTGACCTTGTCAATCGTCTGTCGCTTTTATTCATGTGTGTGCATGCTTATCTCGTTGATCATATGTCTGTCTTAATTTTGTCTGACTATATATTCTTAGTCATGCTCAATCTCTTTGAGTTGGCTCAACAGCCTTCTCCAATTTACGCTGCTTCTTTCGTTTTATTCGCTGCTTCTCCGATTCGAAAATAAACGTATTCAACACTACGAGTTCATCTTCTGATTTATAAACCGTCAGACGCTATTTAGTAACGATTGTCTGGACGAGTTAATTACCGAGCATAAGAACACGCAGTAAATTGGCACACTACAGTACCACTGACGGCCAGTTTGTGGTAGGAACATCGGTTTGCAAATCTCTCATCGTTTTCAGTCTTTTATCTCAGTCCATGTCGTCTCACGATGTCTTTATATCCAGTGTATTCTTTGATAACCTAGGCATTTAGATCTCCTGTCACGACGGTCAAGTACTTTGGTGAGCATTTCTCGACTACTAACTGTAGCATCTCATAGAACAGATCTTCAGCATCCTCATTGTAATCATTAGTATGTGTATAGCAGTGGATGACATTCACTGTTATGCCCTCTCTTTTTGTTTCTATGATCAGGGATCCATGAGATTCCCATCCTATCAGTGCCTTTTGTGCATGTTTGGACAGCATCAGTGGAACTCCTGGTGTATGTGAAGCATTTTCTTCTTCATGGCCAGAGTATAACAGCAACTGTGTCTTGAAGATAGTCCTTATTGTCAAGCCTGCGTCTAACGTGTTTCGCCAATTTCAGGTACCATCATGTTGTGCCCGCAGCTACTTGGATGACCTTCCTGGTCTCCCACATTTAACGAAAGTTCCACATAACTACAATACTTGTTGCTGTGGTTGCCAGAAGGGGTATTGGTCGCGTGAATTCCAAAGAAACTCGGTTTTCATCATGAGACGTCATAATGTCCAGGTTGAGTTTAAATGCTTTCAATTACTTTTTCTAGTCAGCGTTTTTATGCGAGTTGTTTTTCCATGGGATTGTGTTGCTAACCCCTTGAAAAATCCTACTACTTGAGACCCACATTAGCCTCAGAGTGTCATCAGGAGTTTAGTCGGCCTACATTCTTGCTTTATTCAAATGGGTGAATCGAGAATTCGCGTCAAAGCAAACTTAGTCACACAATGCTGTCAGAGAAATGTGAACAATTTCTTTATGTAAGTTATTGTAAATTTCGCTGTATTTTAAAGTTTGAATCCTAGAAGTATATTTGATATTGATTTGGTACAGTTAACAAATTTTTAAAGGCTATCTTTGAAGGTTACTGTCAAAGGGAATTCACCAAATGTAAATTGTGGAGTCACACTCGTAATTATTTTAGTTCGATATGGAGAGTGAGATAGGATGTTATTCATTGGTGCACGTTTTAGAATTTTGTACACAAGAGACAAATAGAGTCCTTTCACTTTGTGTTTCATCGTTATATGCATATCGTTTTAATCTAAGGAGAGTGCTTTCGTCGCCGTCAATCGTTTCCCTTAATTAGTCTCAGCATACGCATCAATCTAAATCCTAGTTGACCATCGATTATTTTTACTGTAATGTTTAGCATTCGGGATTAGCAATGGTCAGTAAATAACTATTTTACATAATTCTGTATGAAACAGATGTGCTGAACCTTCTGTTTGTCCCAGAATCAAGGCGTCAATGAGCTATAACAGTGAACTGTGAGCCAAAACTCGCATGTATTTATGCACCTCGTCTGTTGAGGTATCAAATGTTTAGTGAGAGATGGATCAACTAATAATTTGATTGTTTTTCAAAAGTAAAATTATAAATTTACTAAGCATATATTGATTATTGAATATAGAGTTTATTTAAAGACAATGAGTGGAAAATCAAATCGTTCGTAGGGCAAAATATGTGTACAAATAATGGATAAATCTAATGGTAAATTTCCGATATTCTTTCATGGACGTGTCAAATGGTTGTCATTATTTGTATTAGCATTTATATTTACCAGAGTTTATTGCTTGTTATGTAATTCTAATACTTCACCACGCTTTATAGCCAACAGAATACATACAGCGACTATTATGCAAGCAATTTGCGCCAATATAAGTAGAAATACGCCGATTATGGTATCATTTAATTGTCTTAGGCCTCTATCAACAACATGTTGGATACATCCCTGAAACAAAAAGAATATTGTGCCATAAAGCAGTGAATTTACCGCAGAAAAAGTTTGATTGGCTTCTGCCAAGCAAAACGCACCATGAATAGCATAAAAATACCGATTATATAATTTGAAAATCCCTGAATATGAAAGCTTATCGCAATACTCATCTTTGATAAATTGTGATAAATATTTGTTCAGCTGTTTATTTAGGAATCAAAAGTCATATACACATGATCTTATCTCAGAGAGACGAGAAGCGAGCGCGTATTTGTTTCAAGCTTACTGGGCGTAGGAAAGACACCGCAAGAAAGCCTCTTAGGTTTTTACTTAATCATAATAGGGAGAAGAATATATTTCAAGAACAACCATCTAAGCGATTCCCATCCGGAGGCAGGTTGGAATGATATCAAAAAGGCTGTGTAAACAGCGGTGATATCTGCTAGTAGGGTTGACCATAGGTCTAGAATGAAGCCGCGGATCTCAGTAGCATCCACTGATCTGATGGATGCCCGAAAACTCATCCCACCTGGCTCTGAACATGATGAAAAACGAAGCCAACTTAGGCGCAGGCGGATAAAAAGCCTCCCATGAACAGTGGTGGGAGGAGAAAGCAAGAGAGATGGAAAAGGCAGCGGCGCTAAACAACAGTAGGCAAAAATTTAGACTCATCAAGGAAACTGGTATTAGGAACCCAAGTGTGAGTGAGACTATTTCGGAAAAGGATGGTCTTATTATCCATTCTCAATGCAGGAGACTGGACCGATGAGCAGAGCACTTTAAGGATCAGTTCAACTGGCCTCGAGCCACTCTTCGGTTACCCACGATCTCCAGTCATCCTGAATGGCAAATCGACGTAAGTCCCCCTAGTCTTTATGAAGTTGAGAAGGAGTTATGAAGTCTGAAGCGAGGGCGGGCTGCAGGTCCTGATAGACTTAGACCTGAGATGTTTAAGGATGGTGGTCCAGTTTTAGCAGCTAGGTTGACTGAGATCTTAGGTAGAATCTGGGAACTGGAGGTAATCCCATCCGACTTGTCTCAGTCACTGATTGTCCCAATCTATAAGAAAGGACAGAAGTCTTCTTGTGACAATTACAGGGGAATAAATCTAACTAATATAGTATCTAAACTTTTGGCCTGAATAATATTTCGACGCTTAACGAAAGCTCGTGAACAGCAGACCAGAGAAAACCAGTCCGGTTTTACACCTGGACGTGGCTGTACAGACCACATCTTCACACTACGACAGGTCCTGGAACATAGACACACATTTAGGCGTCCTACGATAGTGAATGCATATCACTCTGCCTCAGATTTTGTTTTGGCTTTATTTGAATTCACAAACAGGTTCAACTGAATAAAATAACAACATTTTGTGCTACACCGATATTAACATTATTGCTTCTTCCGAAGTCTTTCTTTACTATCCGCTTAAGTCTAAAAGTTTACGAACCACACAAAATCTGCCCATCATCTTGTAATTTATTAGAGACCCGAAAAAAGCCGATCAGTCTAGTTCAAAGGAGCTCGAACTATAAGAAGGACATTTAGGAAATGATGAAAAGGCATACACACATCGATCTACAGAGTAATAGCGAAATGCAGAAAAGTAAGCTCCAAAATTTACAAAAACCTCCCCCTGACAAATGGATTCTGTCCCTTTATCACAGTTTAATGGGTTGGTGCGTCGATGGTTAGTCATTATAACTTCATTATTTCCATTTATCCTGTGTAATCGCATTTTACTGTTTACGTAAAACTAGGGACTTTTTATCAGTCAACAAGTCATATGATATGGCGAGTTCAAAAATCCATGAAGAATTATGTTCTTGTTGATCACAATGTTTTATGTAAAAATGAGAATCCTTTAAATACGATACAAAAATTTTAGTGCCTCTGAGTTTAATTGACTCGAAGTGACGAGGATGGCATGATTCTTGAAATGAATGAAAATGTGGCATCGTTTCCCAAACAGAAAAATGCAAGTATCGGTCGGAGGTAGTTTACTTCATGTAGTTCATTGGTCTAACTGTCCATTAATCTGCACGGTTATAAGCGATTTCTGTGTTTTAACATGAACATTTTATGTTTGATCAACGTTATTTATTGAGAAGACTAATTAGTCAGTCCTTTTAAGAAAGTTAAATTGTTTGACTAGTATTGCAAATGAGGTGCGAATCAGAAAAATATAGAAATCTCTAACTTAAACACAAAGTATGTGAAAGCTTACTTTAGTGAACAGTTTGTCATCTTCGTAGCATGAAGTTGGTTTCGACGATCCATAATCTTCCGGAGAGTCAGCACCACAACAGTTTCCCTGTATAAATCATCATATTGATAAATGCGACTCACTCGTAACTGAACTACATCAAGAGCCCTTTTAATATAATCGTCTTCGTTGTATTCTTTCACGAATTTTCTTAGTACATCAGTGGCTTGGTTGTTGACCTATAACAATAGTGTCTGCATACTGAACCTTACCTTCGTCTTTTCTACTATCGCAAGTGCCCCTATAATTATTTCCGCAATTATAAAGGTGAATAAAAGAATGCAGTACTACGAAAAATTCATAATTATATTTATTTATTCCTACCGTTGTCAATAAACAAACATTCTTTGTGCATCCCCCCAACATTCCTATAACCCCCGACACCAACATAAAGCATCCAGGGATAATAGTGAAGATCATAAATGGAAAAACCGGAGGGTCGATCTCTCTCCATCGACCGTCAATAGAATGTAACCCAAGTGCAGTACACACAGTGAGAATAAAACCACATATCTAAATATCTATCTGCAACATAGAGCAGAACTTACGACAGCGCCACAGTTTAAAATAATAAACAAACACTGCAAGCACTTGTATTTACAACTAAGCGCCATGGCATAAATGTGCGCGTGATAACTACCCACAGCTCTTACAATATTGCAGAACGTACAAGGTCATTTCCAATATCCAATAGCTTTTCTTCACGACGTGGTTTTGACCACAATCGCGCACAACTGATCAGAACGAGTGATGAGAATCTGTACGTGTGTACTTGTTTTTCAAGTTTGTTCCTAAAGCTATGCACTAATGGAGTTGTGGTCACTTCAGCTGGCAGAGTATTAAGATTTGCAATAACACTTGATGAGAATAAGCGGGCAAAGTGAAGAGTTGAGTCAGCTTTGGATGCATCGTCAATGAACTTTCAACTGGTTTTTCGGTTTTCTCTGATTATTAGAGCAAGATCGTGTTCTGAGAAGATGTTGGAGAACGAAATTCCACTGATGATGTACGTTGTAAATAAAGTCGCGTGAAGTAGAAAATTCACAGTGTAGTATTTGGACTGGTTTTTATTTAACCCGTCGTACACTAGCCATTCTCTTATTGTTGTGGGGTCATTCGAAGCTCGAACGGGCCTTCTGCGCTTCGTAAGGATCTCCAGATATTTTCATCCTCTGGAAAGATTAGGTCCGATTAGCTGACTTTAACCAATCAGCACCAATATGAGCAAGAGGAGTGGATCTTCTTTTAATAATCATAATAATGGTTATTTTTATTATATTAGCGAACTCCTAGGACTATAATGCAAACAAATGGGCGAAGGAAGCGAATGAGTGGGCGAAGCGCGTTGGAGAAGGCTAATGAGCCAACTTCGAGAGATAGAGCATGACTAAGAATATGTAGTCAGTCAAAAATAAGACAGATATGCGATGAGAGAAATAGGCATGCACACACGAATAAAAGCGACAAACGATTGACAAGATCAAAAGTAAGCGAGACAAGTCATGTGAGATTATGCAAACCAGACAACAGTAAGAGCAGACGGTATATATAAGTTGTTACTACTCAAATGGCAACTACGCCCGTAGAACCTGCGGAGGTAGAACTGCCGGTCCCAAGCCCGGATAAAGGAGGAGGGTTGGACATGGGGTTGGCGACCCCATTCCGTTGAAATCTCACTTGCCAAAAAAACGCTGACCATAGAAATTAATTCAAACCATTTTAATTCTGCCATGGGAGTTGGAAGAAGAATTATGACGCGGCGTGATGAAAGTCGAGTACACCCGGGAGTCACGAGGCCGATGCCTCTTCTGACAACCAGAGCAATCATTCTTTTAGGTACATGGAACGTTCGTACATTGTGGGAGACTGGAAGACTATTTCAAGTTGCGGCAGAAATGAAAAGATACAACCTCGAGGTGCTCGGCATCAGTGAAACGCATTGGACATAGGTAGGACAACTGAGACTTGCTTCAGGGGAACTGCTGTTATACTCTGGTAATGAAGAGGAAAATGCTTCACATACACAAGGAGTTGCACTGATGCTGTCCAAACATGCACAAAAGGCACTAATTGGATGCGAATCTGATGGACCGAAGATCATTAAATCATCCTTCAAAACAAACGAAGAGGAGATTACAATGAACGTCATCCAATGTTATGCACCTACCAATGACTACAATGACGACGTTAAAGATCAATTCTACGAAAGGCTGCAGTCAATCGTCGAGAAATGTTCACCAAAGGATTTGACGATTATTATGGGAGACCTGAATGCCAAGGTTGGCATGGACAACACTGGATATGAAGACATCATGGGACGACATGGACTGGGAGAAAGAAACGAAAACGGTGAGAGATTTGTAAACCTATGTGCCTTCAACAAACTGGTCATCGGTGGCACAATATTCCCGCACAAACGCATTCACAAAGCCACATGGATTTCACCGGACCACACAACTCAAAACCAAATCGACCATATCTGTATCAACAAAATGTTCAGAAGGAGTATGGAGGATGTGAGAACCGGGATAGGAGCTGATATAACCTCAGATCACCACTTGCTGGTCGCCAAAATGAGACTGAAACTAAAGAAGCACTGGACAATGGGGCAGAGAACATCACACAAGTTTAATACATCCTTTCTTCGGGATTCCTTAAAACTCAACAAATTCAGAATAGCTATTACCAATAGGTTTCAGTCCATGCAAGATCTACTCGATGGAGAGGACGCAACATTGGAGAACAATTGGTAAGGGATTAAGGAGAAATGTTACGGCAGGAATGAAGACATTAAGTTCTTCAATTGTAATTTTTGGTCGTTGGATACTTTTGGACATTTGAGTCCACAAGTTCTTTAATTTTAATCTTTGGTCATACACTGGATAATTTTGGACATTTGGGTCCAAGAGTTCTTCAATTTTGATTCTTTTGTCGTACATTGGTTACCTCGAGACATTTTGGCTCCAAGATATTTTGCGTCGAATTTTTGTTATTATTGGTCGAATATGTTTGGATTAATTCACATTTGCTTGGTAATCGATTTTGAACAAAGCATACAAACATAACTTCGGTAGTATCTCGTGTCATGGAGAAAATAGTTAAGTCAGTGTTACTACAACATCTACTTAGTAACAATCTGATATCGACCTCACAGCATGGGTTCTTGAGGTCCAGGTCGTGTGATACATGCCTGCTAGATTATTTCAACGATATCACCAATGAACAAGACAAAGGGCTTCTGGTATCAGTCCTTTTCTTCGATTTTAAAAAGGCTTTTGATCAAGTCCCACACAAAAGGCTTCTACTTAAACTGAAGTCATTTGGAATCATCAACCCACTACACTCATGGTTAGCTTCATTTCTAAATAGGCGACAACAAATGGTTAACTACAACGAATGTCTTTCATCCCCAAGACCAATAACCAGTGGGGTTATCCAGGGAAGTGTCTTAGGTCCACTCTTGTTTCTAATGTACATAAATGACATATGTAATACTATTAAATTTGGAAGAGCATACTTATATGCTGATGATCAGAAAATAGTATACAGCTATAAGCCTGAAGATCTGGACGAAAACCTTCAAAGCAGTTGTAGTTTTTATTTCTAGTAGACAGACAAATTGAAAAGCCTGTAGATGCTGATCAACTATTGTCAATTACAAGAAACTCAAACACCGTGTATCATTGTGAGTATCTTCTTATTTAAGTATTAACAGTTTAACAAATTTTTATTACCCCAATTCAATAACATCCAAACACCTTGCTTGCTTACCAACTTATCGCTTTACTTATTATTTTTAACATTATTTGAACTCTTTTTTCACTTTCTCCTCGTTCCAGCTCCCTGTCCTTCCAATTTCCAAACTACCCATTAACTAACTCATCTTACAAATTATACCATTCGTTTACTTAAAATCAGTGTGATATGCTATGCGGATATATTGTCTGGCTAAGTTGTCTGGATATCTTGTAATATGGAGCTAGTAGAGAAAGTAAATTCCGATAAGGTGTACAAAAAATTTGAGAGTAGACTATACACCATTATTTACAATCAACCATTAAACGTAAGAGAGCCTAACATCACAAAAGGAGGGAGGGTGGTGTACCAGACCAACATTCATGACGATGGGGCGATAACCTCAATCTACCCATGTCTGTGTGGCAGAACATTTTGTTTGCTTACGGCTCCTTACGATATAGCAGGATGTAACAAATCAGTGATATTGATGTTACTTTTCCTAGTTAACCTCGTCTACAACTCATGTCTGTAACCTTTCACTGGTTTTTACTTCCCACCGAGAAATCCTATTACAAGCTGGTCTGGACAACTATACTAAAAAAGAGCTCATTCATAACTTCTTGAGGCGCAGAGTTAAAAATAAAAAGAATAGATAAAACCAAAAAATTATATCACTGATCCTCTTTATTATATTTTGTAAATCAACTTTATTACTAACAACTTGGTTCTTCTGAATTTCCTCGATTCTTTCAACTAACTTCTCATTAGTTATCTCACTACTGAATTGTCTTCATTAACCTACATAAGCGCAGGTGTAAAGTGTTCTGATATTAAAAATGTTTGGGTAAACATACCTTTGTTTTATCCATAAACGTATGTGCGAAGCCGTTGCTCGGCCTTGAACATGAATATTTTCTGTTCTGCTCCTCGTCCCGTTTTCTTGATTTCCCTTTTTTCAGAACCTTATTCCAATCCACATATATTAGTCTGGATATTTGCAGTAGACTTGGTTACCCTACCCAAGAACATGTGAAATCATTAGCTGATGAATATCAACCAGACTTTTGTACATTTACCGCATCAATTCTTGTTATATGAAAACGTATCTCTACCATGAATCGTTTCTCAGTCCATAAGTTGATTGTCGTAACGCAACCTTCGTAACTTGCGCCAATTGATCGCTTTGTACATTCCATCTTTAAGAAAACAATGAATCTTGTGAAATGTTTCAGTCACTGCATACCGTTTTAAAAAAAAATATGTTGTTAATCTTAAAGAAGAATTTGGAAAGGAGACTTGAGTTAGAAAAGCAGCTTAAAATGTTAGATCTTCAAGAGGAGGTTGATATGGCCGAATTAGAATGTAAGGTCATAGAGAACGAAAACCGACTGTCAGTAGACAAAGCTGAGAGAGATGCTAAGTTGGAAAGGTACTTGGATTTTGATATTGCGCGTAATAAGGTAATTAACACCTCAAAATGCGATTGTATTGATGAATTAAAGCATACTTTACGTACTACGGTTAATAATACGGTTTTGCTTAAGATCGATATGATGATTTTTGACGGTCAACCGAGGCAGTACCACCGTTTTATTAGTCAGTTTACAAGCATTATAGAGAGTAAACTGTCTGACAAGGGCCAGTTGTTGTCATATTTGTCATACTATTGTAATGGAAAGGCCAGAACGGCTATCGAAGCTTGTATTTCCTTGCCCAGTCACTTGGGTTACGATAGAGCTAAACAAATTTTTTATGATCTGTTTGGTAAAGAACATCTTGTCGCTCGTAATCTTATTACTGAATTACTTAGCCACAAATCTGTTGAAGGATCCGCCGATGGCCTAACTGACTTCGCAATTAAGCCACGTAATGTATGCATAACATTGAAGGAAATGGGGTATA